CCTGTCTGATTAATTCGTACAGGGATACCCGCTGTTTATGGCGGCGGCGGAAGTGAGCGGCCTGCCTGCCTGCGTCTGTCTGTCTGTCTGTCTGTCTACCGACACTCTCCTCACACACTCGCCTCCACCCATCAACACTCGCCTCACACTCATCAACACACCTGTCATTATGCGAACTCTCAAACCTTTGTTTACACAGACTGACTACCCGTGAAGGGTTACACTGTAGTTGATAGTTACCGAATCATTACAGCCTAATGACACACACATCCACACCGTAGCCAGACCTTGTCACGGCGCAGAGAAAGACGCTTTAACCAAGAACTAAATACTACACAACGATGACCACATCCAAATTAGCTTGCTGGTTTGAGAAGGTGTGGCGGGGAGGGTGAAGGGGGGAGGGGCGGTGGCCCTGAAGGACTACCCCCCCCCTCCCACCACACCCCTTCGCAGAATGAATGAGCACAAGTGAACGAGAAAAGCTGCGTGAATTGTGAATAGTGTGTGGGGGGGTGACAGTCATTCATGATTCATTCAAAATCCTGGTTGTGATGGAGTTGGTAGGGGGGGAGGGGGGTAGTGCGCGCGCACGTAAGCGCTTGCAGGGGATCGTGGGAGAATTCTGTTTCACCATTTCGTTGACTGAGATCCTGTCTTGCCTCCTGTAACAGCACGACAACATAAGCTAGAAACTTGTCATTGTACATACACTCCCGCGCTGCCCTTGAGCGAGCGAGCTGCGGAGGGAGGGAGGGATGAGACATGAACATGCAAGAGGTGGCGACTCTGTATGATATCAGCGGTCACCCACCCACCACCTGACTCGGGTCCACGAGATGTCCGTCACTTCCGCCAGATGGGAAAGGAGGTCACATAGGTCATCAGCAAGCTCTTGGCTTGGGGGGGGGGGTTACCATACTACTTATGTAAAGGAGGAAATATATATGTTTATCTCTCAGAATGTTTGGTAATAGGTTTATTGTTTGTGATGTGTGTCTAGGTATGTATTAACACGATGTACTGAACGGGGTGAGAATAGTTTGAGCTATCTCATCCCTTTGTGTGTATTTTACCTCAATAAACTTATTTCAATTTCAATGTACTGAGGTCGTCTAGGCTCTGATAGGTCGGCAGCTCGTCCTCTTGTGTACAACATACAAAATATGGGGTATTAAAACGCACTAAACCCAAGCCACTATAACTACAATATGCATAAGAAACGTGGATACTTCACTTCCGATACTTCTCACAATACCCCTTTATTTTGTACGTTGGGGACCATAGTGTACAAAATGTTGGGTATTCCAGCCAGGAGATCGATTGATGAAGATTAAGCCACCCAAAAGGTGGCACGGGCAAGAATAACCCGTAAGTGGTGGCCCTTTTGAGCCATTACCAGTATCAAGAGCTGATACTGGAGATCTGTGGAGGTGCGACTGTACCCTGCGTGACGGGAGATGTCTCCCGTGCCAGGAGATCGGTGTGTGTTGGTTCTCATTATTCACACCATAGTTGTGGCTGACGGCAAGTGTGCTTTATCCTGCTCTCTAACCTCTAGTTATTATTCCTTACACCTTAATTCCTCCTACAGACCATTCTCAACCACCACCACCACCTCAGTACCCGTTTTACCTCTATTCCTTGGCCAGCCACCCGCTGAGGCGTATATAACGTCTCTATGGTTAGGGCAGGAAAGGGACGGAAGGAAGGAAGGGGAAGGGAAGTATACAACGGTGGTTGGGTATACTAGCCCCCCCAACCCACTTCCTCTCACCTTCCAATGCCACCAAACCCAACCTTCTCAACCGTAGTTTCAGGAATCTGCCATCCTGTCCTCAGGTCAGGTATTCTTCAGACCAGGCAGCCTAGCTCACCATCAGAACGTCAACAGATTTTTTTTCAGCCTGGCCACAACATTCACGAGGGAGGATATGCTGAATGTCCGTCCATTCAATGGCCGGACATAACTCCAAGTCCTATGTGGGCGACTTCCTGTCCGCTCCCGTTTGACTGAGAATAGACGGTTATTTTAAACTGGCCGACGGTTAGTAGTCCTAACTGAACCTACCCCCTCTCCCCCCCCCCTCCCCCTCCTCCTCCACCTGAGCTCTGAGCCCTCGTCTCTTCTACATGCTGGTAATCCACGTAATCCACTCTTTCAAATCATTGATTGATTAAGCCACCCAAGAAGTGGCACGGGCATGAATAGCCCGTAATCGAATCATTCTTATGAGTTGGTGTTAACTTGCTGGAAAAGTTCCGACCCTGTGATGTCGCGACACAAGGGATTTTTCCCGCGGTTTTCGTAATCGTGTGGATGGAAGATCACTTTTTGAAGGCATCTGGTATTTTGGCGGGAACACGCAGGTTTTACCACATCAAATCCTGTTACATCGCCGCTGTTTATACAAGTGACAACAGTGAAATTCGACGCCATTACCCCATATCACAGAGAGCAGGCAACTCCTCCCCCCCCTTTCCTGTTACCTCGCGTCACACCCTCCTCCTCCTCCTCCTGCGTCACACCCTCCACCTGCGTCACACCCTCCCTCCTCCACCTGCGTCACGTCATCTCTTAAGAGGTCTTCTTAACACCGGAAACGTCTCGAGGCGCCAAGCGACCTCAGCCTTTCTCCCAGAGCCATTCAGTGGTACATCCTCACCCTCCTGCTCCACACCTCACCCTTCATCCTCACCCTCCTGCTCCACACCTCACCCTTCATCCTCACCCTCCTGGTCCACACCTCACCCTTCATCCTCACCCTCCTGGTCCACACCTCACCCTCCTGCTCCACACCTCACCCTTCATCCTCACCCTCCTGCTCCACACCTCACCCTTCATCCTCACCCTCCTGCTCCACACCTCACCCTTCATCCTCACCCTCCTGCTCCACACAACTGTTGTGACCGGGTGGGTTATGACTCGGGCGAAGCATGTTGAAAATGTTGCCAAGCAATTAAGTTATCCATCTCCAACCCTCAACTACAACAACAACTACAACAACAACTACAACAACTACAACAACAACCCACCACAATCACCCTCCAGCATCCCTTAATTATTATTCTCTTGATCATCATCGACTCTGAGACGGGGACCCAGCTCCATTGCCCTAAAAGGTCAACATTTCCTGTCGACTGGATGGAATTACCGACCTTATGCCCTCTTCCCTATCGCTTTATGTTCTTCCACTTTCATGTTCCCCCCCGGCTCATTTTCCATTCTCTTCTGGCGTCTCTCTGTCTCTCTCTCTCTCTGTCTCTCTCCGTCTCTCTCCGTCTCTCTCCGTCTCTCTCCGTCTCTCTCCGTCTCTCTCTCTCTCTCCGTCTCTCTCTCTCTCTCCGTCTCTCTCTCTCTCTCTCTCTCTCTCTCTCTCTCTCTCTCTCTCTCTCTCTCTCTCTCTCTCTCTCTCTCTCTCTCTCTCTCTCTCTCTCTCTCTCTCCGTCTCTCTCTCTCTCTCTCTCTCTCTCTCTCTCTCTCTCTCTCTCTCTCTCTCTCTCTCTCTCTCTCTCTCTCTCTCTCTCTCTCCGTCTCTCTCTCTCTCTCTCCGTCTCTCTCTCTCTCTCTCCGTCTCTCTCTCTCTCTCTCCGTCTCTCTCTCTCTCTCTCCGTCTCTCTCTCTCTCTCCGTCTCTCTCTCTCTCTCTCCGTCTCTCTCTCTCTTTCGCTACTTCTAGCCAAAGATAAATAACATACCACAACAATTAGAGCAGAAGTCAACTGTGTACACTATTCATATTAAATATAATTCAATATAACTATACCGAGTTACACATGTATGTAGTCCCACTACACATGTGGAGCCTGTAGCACTTGTACCAAAGCCAGCATACCTTACTCTCCTTGGGAGCATACACTAGGGGGTGGGGGGGGGGAGTGATACGACTAGTATGCGCAGGGGAGAAGCATACCTCACCTTAGGTGGAGCATACCAAGACCAACCCACCAGAGCGGAGAACAAGTACAACCTTGGGGGGCTGGGGCATACTTCCTGTCCGCGTCTGTCTGTATGACTCTACCTCCCCCCTTCCCCCCCCCTGCCCCTCCTCGCTCCTCATCGGGTTTCCCCTTGACGTCGACTAACAACAATAACAAACTTCAGCTGTACAGGTAAAGTCAATCTCCACGCCCAAACCAGGCCACACGGGACCCTAAGTTACGGGCCCCGAGGAGCCCGTGGGCAGCGAAGGCAAGTTCACGCTGTCGGTGTGTGGTGTGGGGGCTCCGGAAGTGCCTATGAACGGACCCATTCACAGGTATGAAGGCTAGACCGCAGACTAGTGCTGGGAAGGTAGACATCTCTCATCCACCACCACCACCATCCCCTCCACAACCATTCCAGTCTCAACAACAAGCTCCTAAGTGGGAATGGGGGAAGTAGCTTGGTTCAAATTTAAAACCTTGGCAAGGCTCTACCTCGGAATTGGTATGATATGGTAAAGGTACCAATACCTTTAAGATTGGTACGTCATTTTTAACCACCAGGTATATAGAGAGGCAAGTATGGAACAACTATCTTCTTGAGGTTATCTTGAGATGATTTCGGGCATTTTTAGTCCCCGCGGCCCGGTCCTCGACCAGGCCTCCACCACCAGGAAGCAGCCCGTGGCAGCTGACTAACACCCAGGTACCTATTTACTGCTAAGTAACAGGGGCATAGGGTGAAAGAAACTGCCCATTGTTTCTCGCCGGCGCCTGGGATCGAACCCAGGACCACAGGATCACAAATCCAGCGTGCTGTCCGCTCGGCCGACCGGCTCCCATTCCACCAGGTATTGAACAACCATGCCACCAGGTAGGGACAAGCCTCACTCTCCACAACCCAACGCTTCTCGTCTGCCAAGCCCTCCCTGTTTGGCCCTAACCCCTAAAGACATAATTACAAAAAGAGTATCTAGAACCCCCCCTCCCCCCCTAAGCCACCCCCCCTCCCCGCCGCCCCTAAGCCACCCCCCTCCCCGCCGCCCCCTAAGCCAGTCACACACACTTGGTACTCACCGATAAACTGGATAGCCTTGGGGAAGAAGGAGGCCAGGTTCTGACTCCAGTGGTCGGCGATGGGGATCTGCATATACTTGTAGCTCCCACTCTCCTCGAACACGTTAGGCAGGTTGGGGGTGACGTTGATGATGTACTGCAACACACAACAACACACTCCTTTAGTGCTTGGGGCCCCCTAGCATCAACGGGTCACGTGGAATATATACAATAACATGTCTTATGAATGGCCAGTTTTATATTTAAAGGGTAAACGAGAGAGAGAGAGAGAGAGAGAGAGAGAGAGAGAGAGAGAGAGAGAGAGAGAGAGAGAGAGAGAGAGAGAGAGAGAGACAGACAGACTGACTGGGGGAGGTTATCTTGAGATGATTTCGGGGCTTTAGTGTCCCCGCGGCCCGGTCCTCGACCAGGCCTCCTCCCCCAGGAAGCAGCCCGTGACAGCTGACTAACACCCAGGTACCTATTTTACTGCTAGGTAACGGGGGCATAGGAGGGGACAGATAGAACAAAGCACAAATACTACTAATGTTATTTCCCATATATACAACTTTCTCACCCCACCCCAAGAAACATGGAGGGGGGGGGGAGAGGGGCAGCATTAGGGGAGAGGGGGGGGGTGACGCTGAATGAATGAATGACTGGTTTACAAAGGCAAGACCGTCGAGGTCAGCCTAACTGGCTGGGATGAGTGAATTCACAGTCTACACGACGACTGCGCACGGATGCACGTGTTCAAACTATTAGCCAGTCCCGGAATCAACGGTCAAAGTCATTAGCAAATCAGTGCATGAATGAATGAGTCGACCAATCAGTGGTTAAGGGAATGAATGAACAAGTAGGCCCACCAGCGGTAAGGGCAATGAATGAACCAACAGAACACAACACACACACACACACACACACATCAATGAATGAGCCAGCACAACACACACACACACACACACCAATGAATGAACCACCACAACACACACACACACCAATGAATGAACCACCACAACACACACACACTCGAGAAACAAGTGAAACCTGCGCATGGTGGCCACGCAGGCAGGCAGGCAAACTGCGCAGGCAGACGGCGCAGGCAGCAAGGACGAGCCCACATGGGAACTAACCGCAACACAACCAACACGCAAGTCAATGAAAACATGCAACTCATCCGCCGTAATCAATGAATGAACGAGACAACACAGGTACACCTTGAGTGAACAAGCGACCCTCCTCTCTCTCACCCAGCCCAGCCAACCATCCAATGAACGCCCTGAACGACTTTAAAAAAAAACTTTCGAAAAGGCACTTCTCTTTATCCTTGGAGTCACTAGAGAGGGACACAGCCTATGGAACGCCCCCCCCCCCTCAAAGGTGCTAATTCCAAAAATCACAATGAATGAATGAATGAATGAATGAATGAATGGGGGAGCAGCCAGGAGTTATGAATGATTCAAGGTGACGGAGCACAAGTACACGCCCACACGCACGGGGGCGCGCGCGCGCCACCATCATCGATAATGGAGAAGGGTGGGGAAGGTGGGGGGGGGGGCGGGGGGGATAGGGACATAAATAGACGAATAGGGGCGTATGTACACGCGACCAGATAGACATAACTAGATGTAAAGACGTAAGTGGTAAGTGTACATATGCGTTCGAGAGAGAAAGATAGAGAGATATAGAGAGATAAAGAGAGAAAAAGAAAAAAAGAGAAAAAAAAGAAAGAAAGAAAAAGGAGAGAAAGAGAAAAGAGAAAGAAGAGAGAAAGAGAAAAGAGAAAGAAGAGAGAGAGAGAGAGAGAGAGAGAGAGAGAGAGAGAGAGAGAGAGAGAGAGAGAGAGAGAGAGAGAGAGAGAGAGAGAGAGATAGAGAGAGATATGGGGGGGGGGGTAGAAACAGGGTCTAGGGAAGGGGGGGGGGGGGAGACCACCACCTCCCCCCACGCATCAGTAAGCAACAATGGCGTCCTGCCTAAGAATTAGACAATATCAGTGAACGAACTTGGACGGGCTGTGAGAGGAGGGAGGGGGGGGGGGTTCAAGGTGGAGCACTTACCCCCAACCCCCACCCTCCCTCCCCCCACCGCCACATTCCATGCCAGCCAGCTCCAAAGAGTACCCATGACCTCAAAAACTTAACATTTGGCATCCAGCGCCAAGCCAGAAAACGCAGAATGCTCTGGCGTCACACACACCCCTCTCTAGCTCCCCGTTACCCATAACCACCAACGAACCACCAACGTAAACCAACAACGACGATGTACCCCCAGCAAAGCCATCACCCTCCCACCCCCCAGTCTCCAACCCCCATGAACGTGGCCTCAACCCCCTCCTCCTCCTCCTCCTGCTCCTCCCCGAAGACAAGACAGTGAACCAACATCCGTGAGCCAGAGAGGCGTATCCCATCACCACTCCCATGATGCCCAACCCACACCACCTGCACTGAGCCTGCCTGTAATTACCTAATGGTAGTCACAAGAGTGTTACTGGACATTGTGCCCTGTCAAACTACATGCCACTCTACTAGAGAGTGGGCTTCTACTACTATATATCGTGTATATCATATATGGATATATCGTATGCTTCTTGCGTAAGGTGTGGAGTTCGGGGCCACACCACCACATACCCGCACCGAAGCTCAACATAATCCGCCTACCGGAACCTCTATGAATGAAAGCTCCAGGTATGTGGGGGGGGGGGGGTAGGGGTGCTGCTAGTGGGGGGCAGGGGTGCTGCTGGTGGGGGGCAGGGGGGCAGGGGTTTACGATGGCGGTAGAACAGGTAAGCCAATACCTACAGACGGACGGAATGATAAGATAGCACAGAAAAAGATAAGAATATGGGAGGGAGGTAGGGGAGAAGGGAGAAAAGAAGGATTATAAACAATCACCTACGACCGTACACTCCTTAATGGAAACTAGGCCGCCATAACCAAGGGAAGATGTACAGGTTTCGTGAGTGTCGAGGTATAGATATTTGATATATCGGGGCTGACTGAGGTACAAACACCCAACTGGGAACACCAGCGGCGGGCCAAGTCACTCACGGCCGTGAGTGACTTAAGTAAAAGGGAAAAGTGTAAACACTTTACACTTTTGTGTAAAGTGTAAAGTGTTTTAGGGGGAGAGAGAGAGAGAGAGAGAGAGAGAGAGAGAGAGAGAGAGAGAGAGAGAGAGAGAGAGAGAGAGAGAGAGAGAGAGAGAGAGAGAGATATTCAGCTGTGAATGGAGGGGAGGTATGAATGAAAAGTTCCAGTTAAGCCTTGAGAGAGTTGTGAGTTAGGGGGGAGGAGGAGGGGGGGGGGATGGGGGTGTCCATATGATGTGGCGGAGAGGGGGGGGGGAATGGGTAAGGTAAGGTGGAGAGTGGCGAGGCACCAGAGTGCCAGGAGAATGTATTGAGGGGAGATAGGCCAGAATGTTGACGGACTTTAGGGAGGGGGATATTGGTTTGAGGGGGGTTGAAGGGGAGGGGGTGGACGGTTGGGGGGGAGGAGGGGGGGAGGGGGGGTTTGAACCAGACAAACAAGATTGAGGAACGGTGTTATTTTTGTATGTACTAATCAAAACTGACCAAACACCAGTGTGAGAGGGGGAGAGGAAGAGGGAGGGGGGGTTGGGGCATATGGGGGGAGGAGGAGGGGGTAGATGGGGATGCCCCCCCCCTCCCCATCTTACCACAACGTGCTTAAAAACCACCAGAAAGGTAGGTGCAGCCTCTCCCCCCCCCCCCCCCCCCCCCCCCTCCGTCACAGGATACACTACACATATTTACCTAACATTCGCTAAACCCACAACCCCTCCCCCCCCCCGTTACCCCTCCTCCCCCACCCCCCACCACGAGCTGACCGCCCCAGCGGCCGACTTAGAGATGTGAATGAATGGCATTTTCTCAAATCTACCCCGCAGGCACCTGGCCGCGCTGTTGCCACATCTGGCCGTTCTCACCCACTGGTCCCCAGATGGCATCTCTCCCCCTAAACCTCACCTTCGGAGGGTTCTGGGGTTGTCTTGGCCGCCGTGCCCGCCACCGCCATTGTTCTCCACATTCTCCGCGCGACCACGCAACTTAACGGCGGGGATTTGCACGACTTAAAACCTTTAAATATACTCAAAACATTCGGCGCTGGGAGTCGGTCGGTCGGTCGCCCGCCATGTTGTCGAGCGGGGGGAGAGAAGGGGGATGGAAGGGGGGGGGGGAAGGGGGACAAGAACGCCAGCTCTCTGCTGTTGTGTTCGTTCAGTTTCACCAATATTACCACCACACCAGGGGGGTACCTTTCAGGGGGCTCTGGCTCCCCCGTCTTCCCAGCTATTGTCACCCCCCTCTCTTTCCCCCCCCCTCTGTTGCTCGCTTATGTCTCCTCCTCAACACAAGACACGTTACTCCACCAATCATCACACTGCCTTAGACACACATATATACAAGCATCATCCAATAGCATCACGAGTCTCTTGCTTCTTAGAAGAGAGAATGATCAGACTGGTAGACAAGCATCTCTATATGGCCGTCTTACCTGGTCGTGTACACCTGTGTGGTGCCTGGCCGTGTACACCTGTGTGGTGCCTGGCCGTGTACACCTGTGTGGTGCCTGGCCGTGTACACCTGTGTGGTGCCTGGCCGTGTACACCTGTGTGGTGCCTGGTCGTGTACACCTGTGTGGTGCCTGGTCGTGTACACCTGTGTGGTGCCTGGTCGTGTACACCTGTGTGGTGCCTGGCCGTGTACACCTGTGTGGTGCCTGGCCGTGTACACCTGTGTGGTGCCTGGCCGTGTACACCTGTGTGGTGCCTGGCCGTGTACACCTGTGTGGTGCCTGGCCGTGTACACCTGTGTGGTGCCTGGCCGTGTACACCTGTGTGGTGCCTGGCCGTGCACACCTGTGTGGTGCCTGGCCGTGTACACCTGTGTGGTGCCTGGCCGTGTACACCTGTGTGGTGCCTGGCCGTGTACACCTGTGTGGTGCCTGGCCGTGTACACCTGTGTGGCGCCTGGCCGTGTACACCTGTGTGGCGCCTGGCCGTGTACACCTGTGTGGCGCCTGGCCGTGTACACCTGTGTGGCGCCTGGCCGTGTACACCTGTGTGGCGCCTGGCCGTGTACACCTGTGTGGCGCCTGGCCGTGTACACCTGTGTGGTGCCTGGCCGTGTACACCTGTGTGGTGCCTGGCCGTGTACACCTGTGTGGTGCCTGGCCGTGTACACCTGTGTGGTGCCTGGCCGTGTACACCTGGCCAAAGGTAAATAACGTCAGCAAATATCTTCACGGTGGTCACAAATTAATCAAATAAAACTCTCGCCGAACATAAGAATACATGACATTACAATAGGTCTACTGGCCCATTCATCAGCTATATGTACCCATTCAAACTCATTCACATAGGTATAGGTGTCTATGTGAGCGCTCACCTAGTTGTGCTCGCGGGGGTCGAGCTTCGGCTCTTTGGTGCCGCCTCTCGACAGTCAATCAACTTTATGTGTGCAATTACCTAAGTGTAATTACATATGTAAGTATGCATTTATGTATAACTTGAGATTTTAAACATTCCAGAGACGTTGTTTGTCCCCCCCCCCCTTTACGTTGCCCAGTAATTCGTCCTACAAATCAACAATCCTGTTTCCTAACCAGTATTTACCCAGGTATTTTTTTTAAGCAAAACTCATCCAACGTGTATCCATTGTTTTGCGCTCTATTTTGTGGTGATATACATAGTACCATATTCATATCCCCTTTGTTACTCATTCATCCATGTGTATATTTCGCAAATTAAGCTCTGGTTCTCTTCACTATACCTATATAGACCTGTTCAACATATATCAACGATATTAAAAATACAGGAAAACTTCATAAGACTCATTGGCACCCAGACAAGGCAGCTCCTGTTTACATTCACCCAAACTCATTTATAATGTATAACCTGAGAGTACGTCTCAGATCTACCTGTGTGTGTGGCTTAAGAATTCCTCTTATTACTTCCCCCTGCGCGTCAGTCTCGGTCTTCCCCCTCACTTGCAGTCCTGAACACGCCAGGTGTGGTCAATAACCCACTGTCACTACCTACTAGGGGGCCAGATGTGGTCAATAATCCACTGTGACTACCTACTAGGGGGCCAGATGTGGTCAATAACCCACTGTCACTACCTACTAGGGGGCCAGATGTGGTCAATAATCCACTGTGACTACCTACTAGGGGCCAGATGTGGCCAATAATCCACTGTCACTCCCTACTAGGGGCCAGATGTGGTCAATAATCCACCGTGACTACCTACTAGGGGCCCAGATGTGGTCATTAAACCACTGTCACTACCTACTAGGGGCCAGATGTGGTCATTAAACCACTGTCACTCCCTACTAGGGGCCCAGATGTGGTCATTAAACCACTGTCACTCCCTACTAGGGGCCAGATGTGGTCAATAATCCACTGTCACTACCTACTAGGGGCCAGATGTGGTCAATAATCCACTGTCACTACCTACTAGGGGCCCAGATGTGGTCATTAAACCACTGTCACTCCCTACTAGGGGCGCCCCAAGTACAAGTCAGCTAGGGACAGATCGCGTGCTTCAGGGGGCTTCAGGGGGGGCCTGACCATGAGGTATGGGAAAACTTACTGATGGTGGAGGCTAGTGTATGGGAGGAGATGGTGGAGGACCTGACTGAGGGAGATGGCGATTGGTGGAGGTTGTATGTGTTGGCCGGGATGGGATGGGATGGGAGGGGTAGAGGACCGAAGGGTGGAAGGAATGGAGATAACAGAAATGTGGGAAGAAAGGCATAAAACGCCTGTGACAATGGAGGGAGTAGGGTGAGTGAGGGAGGGAGGGAGGGAGGGGAGTGGGATGGAGGAATGGGACAGACAAGAAACAATCCCGGCGGGTCAGTGGGACAGGAGGGAGGGATAGGAGGAGGATAACCCCCTCTCTCTCTCTCTCTCTCTCCTCTCTCCTTCCCATTAGAGGGGTATCAGTGAGTAACATCAAGGCCAGAACCGCGATATGAGAGATTAAGAAACAAGACGAGACCACCTTTCGACCCCCCCCCCAAAGAGTCAAAAGGGGTGGAAAAGGACCCTAAGGTTCGTCTCCAGAGCGACAAACAATACCAAACCCACAATTAAACGAAAACAAAATGACCCAATAACAAGACGGAATCTAATAAGAAAAATAATTAACAATGCTGGCGAAAATTAGGTCTGGAAAAAGGTATTTGGGAGAGAGGAGGAGGAGTTCAACGGAGTCTAAGAGACCGACCACCAGACATCTTGAGATTATCTTTGAGATGATTTCGGGGCTTAGCGTCCCCGCGGCCCGGTCCTCGACCAGGCCTCATGCAAGCAACCCGTCCCCTCAGAGCGGTCACCACGTTGCAGAAATGATGAACTAAATTCCCTAACCAATTCCCGGGTTCGATCCCAGGCGCCGGCGAGAAACAATGGGAAGAGTTTCTTTCACCCTATGCCCCTGTTACCTAGCAGTAAAATAGGTACCTGGGTGTTAGTCAGCTGTCACGGGCTGCT